ACAAGTGCTCGTAAGTTTTCCTCTTTCCTTGTGGTGTTACACATTATGCTGTTGTTTTTTTAGGTTCGAACTTTGTTGAAAGTCTCCACGACATATCGTGCCGGACATTTCTCGATGGTGTTTACGAATCCGTTTCTGGTATCGTTGCTTCAGCTGGCCTGTGTCGAGGAATCGAACGTACGTCTGGTAGTTCACCGAATTTTACACACGCTGCTTGATCGTCACCAGAACCTCGAGCTCCTCGAGTCTATGCAGTGGCCACGAGACGCCAAGAAATTACACCTGACGCTGAATCGTTTCACTAAGACCGACGTCATATTCATTCGCAAAAATTGCTCCGCCATTTTCTCTGCGCTCTATAAGTCGACCTTAATGGCCAACAATACGAGCGACAACTATGACGCTATCTTTTATACGCTGGCTTTGATCTTGATCGAGATCGGATCTGAGGATATGGTAATCGATCTCTTCCGTCTGTGTCTTGCGATTCAGGGGGCGGCATACGATTCTTCTCTTCACCTTGGCGTTACACAAGTGGTAAGTTCATTTTCAAACTGTTAAAAATATTTATGTATACTCTGTTGCTTGCTTTTAAATTACCAGGCAGTATGCTCCGTTAATGTAAGCAATTGAACTGTTCTTTTCTTAGTTGTTAAGTGATTTACTAAGCAGCGTAACATGAGCACAAGTACTTAGTAATTACATACTTCATGCTTCCATTAGTTCGTTCTACTGACATCTGGACAGCAAGCGATGGAGCAGATGGATAATGGCGTTGAAAGTCTCAAAGTCGTACCATGTATCTAGGAAGTTATTAGCTTTTAACTGTTTCCTTCACCTTTCTGCACTTCTCCATTCCATAAGTAACATGAGAGTACCACTAGTTGAGAACTGACAGCGTACCATATGCCACATATTCCGGTATTCTGCATTTTTGATCCTTTCCATATGATGTTCAGCTGCATTAACTGTGTGATGTCTCTATCAGCTGTTCTGGACCTCCCATTCGAACACGTGTGAAACGTTGCAGAAATGAGCGAGAGACTTTTTAAACTATATGAAGAGCGGACCCTACAAATCAGTGCTGATACGATGAGAGAAATGAAGTTTCGATAATGGTTAATAATCGATCATTGCATTCTGAACCCATTGTTGTCTCACAACGCTGCTTTAGCTACCCAACCCTATAACGAAATCAGCCTTATCAACTTTATGCCCATAATTGATTTTATAATTATATTGTCTTCGAATTATGATAGTTATCAGTCATGTTCGATCCATTGTTGAATGATCTTTCCAAGATTTTGTCACAAAGTTTTGTTTTCCGTGATTTTTATCCATTTTGATCCAGTGAATTTCTTCAAATCAGTCTGCCATCGATCTGAAAGTCTTTACCGTTTCATGCCGCAGCCCAGTTTATTGTCTCTGTAGTCTCGCGATGGTTCGTTCTTTTTACATCGTGTCCTACTCCTTGTCGTTTTAACTTCTTCACTCCTGCATTAACATCGCAGACTCATGCTTTTGCTCTTTCCCATTCATCTGTCTAGCTAGTTTTGGTCATTCCTATCATGCGTCGTCTAATGGGAGCACAGATTGAAAGAAAACTTGTCATTTCGATCATAAAGGCAACTAATTTCCTAGATAAGATCATTTTTAATCTTCCACTAGAACTTTATCCTTTGAACGAACTTTTCGATTTTTAGCTCTTCTGCTTCCGAAAAGCTTTGCACTAGTAGTTATATTGTTGTAAACCATGCCGTGGACATCTCTGTATTGTTTTTCGATTCCTTGGGGCCTTAAAGAATACAGTACAGGGAGGATTTAGACTATGTCAAAAGCTCAAATTTATAATAGATATTTATTTTTGATATTAATTAACTGGATGATTAAGTAATATTAATTCAGTTGTCCATGTAGTTACGTAGTTTATCCCACATTAGGATTCACAAGGTTTATTCCGTATATATATACAACTTATGTGCAATTTACCCCACGTTTCGGATCACAGTGGATCAACCTACAGAGAATATGCTCAATAGCATTTTGCAAAATTTTGCTATAAACTGTTTTGAAATATTTAACAGGTGGTACGTGAGACATGTCTGTAGATTAGACCCTTTAAAGAATATTTCATCATCATCATCATCATCATCATCTTCCATCGCCGCTTCTCCTTTCGGGTCGCGGAGGCAGACGCGT